AATAATAATAATAATAACGAAAAAACCGATAGAAATAACAATAATAAACAACAAAACAAACTAATACAATGCTATTACTTATATAAATATACCTACATATATATATATATAAACAAATATAAACAAAAAGATCTATATTTCAGGAGGAAAGATAATGTTCTCTCACTTGTCTCTTAAAGATAGAGATTGACTTGGCATCCCGAATGTTCGGCGGGAGTGAGTTCCATAGTCTCACTGCATGAACGGAGAAGGAGTAGGAGTAGAAGTTGGTATTATGGGGCACAATTTTAAGATAGGATTTAAGATGAGAACGAGTAAGGACTTCAGGAGGACGCACCAAGGAGAAACGGTCTCGGAGATAAGTAGGATAGGCTGGGTTGAACAGGATGTTATAGAGGAGACATAATATGCGAGTGTTCCTGCGAAGACGGATTGGGAGCCACTTGAGCCTGTTACGAAATTCAGAGATATGATCGAACTTCCTAAGACCAAAGACGAAACGGATACATACATTTTGTAAACGCTCAAGTTTATTTAATAGCTCCTCTGTGGCATCCAAATAGCAAGCATCTGCATAGTCAATGAGAGGCAAGATCAGCGCCTGGACGAGGTGAATCTTAGTCGTCATCGGAAGCAGGGTCTGGAGGCGCCTCAGCGAGTGGATGGAGAAATGAACTTTCCGACTAACCTCGTTCACCTGAAAGGCCCACGACAGGTTCGAGTCGATATGCACCCCCAAGTTTTTTGCAGTATCAGTGAATGGAATGTGTGTGCCATTCAAACGTAACGGACCAAGGCCAGACACGTCGAGAGCGTTTCGATAATATCTGCTACCGATGATCATGGCCTGAGACTTGAGAGGGTTGATTTGCAGGCCAAAAGACCTAGCCCACTCGGCAACGCCATCCAAGTCACGATTCATGGCATCGATAGCAGAATGGGCCTCGGACAAGCCAAAGTGGCGATATAGCTGCAAATCGTCCGCATATAAATGGAAATTGGATGAAATGACCTTGGCAACGGTATTAATAAAGATGGAGAAAAGAACAGGAGAAAGGACGCCACCCTGGGGTACCCCAGCAGCAAGGTCACACCAATCAGAAAAAGTTTCTTCAAGGCGGACCCTCTGACGGCGACCCCGAAGATAAGACTCAAACCAGGCCAGAGAGGAAGAAGAGAAATTGTTGGCCTTCAGGACCCCTAGCAGAATGTCAAAGTCCACGGAGTTAAAGGCAGAACTGAAGTCCAACAACACAAGAACAGTGAGAGATTGGTTGTCCATAGCCCAGCGAATGTCATCGGTCACTTTGAGTAAAGCTTTGTTTTGTGTCACAAAAGCCTTGTAGATTCCTAGGAGATAATGTCTCAACTTTTTGGATGTTTCATGGTTTTACCATCCAGTCTTGTTCTCTTTTTACCTATATAAACTTTTCTTTTCTTACTGCTTCTGTGATTTTGACTTATGTGAGATAACATTTAGACAAATAGTATAAATTGTGATTTTTTTATTTAAGACTATCAAAATGTCCTATGCCTAAACAGTTTTATGACATAAGAATACAAGTAAGACAAATCATACTTCTAGCAAATTATAAAAAAACTATCATTCTGATTTACTCATTTTAAATTCCTGAGTCAAATATTCTTACATAACATAACATCACGCCTTTTATCCTCGAGTGCTCATTACGGCACTTAATGCCACTGTTAAATGTAACATTCACTTTTCACTATTTATGTTATGAGTCCCATGTAATAGGGGCTGAGCCTATTGCCTGATACCGGGCATATTTCTAGACTAAGTGCTGATATTTTTTTTAAACCCAACAATACTTTGCCCGGATAGGGAATCGATCCCGAGACTCCTAGCCCTAGTCGCACTTGCAACCACTCGTCAAACGAGGTCACGTAAACGTCAAATATTTTTATCTATAATAATTATGTAATTCTTGGTTCAAATATTTCCAGCATGAAATGGACTTCTTGCAATTATACGGTTTGACAGAAGTAGGACCCCTAGCTACATGCATGCCTCCAGGCTCTAAAGACTACTCAAAGGCTGGATGTGGCATATCTAACACCGAATTAAGGATCGTAGATCAAGATCAACGTGTGCTGGGACCAAATCAGGTAACGCACAATCATAAAACTCGACTTTAATTTAAAGTCTTTAAGGTTTGTTTTACTACGCAAATAATTTGAATTAATAGGGCTTTCGAATACTTTATTAAAGCAATAAAGTGCTATCCAAAAGATTGCATGCATTCATTGCATGAGAACAGTAAATGCTATCGTTACAATAAAATATTAATATACATATTATAAAAAATTGCGCCATATTTGCATTGCGCTACCAACATATCTTAAACACTTAGAGCATAAAAATTTAAATCCTAAATGAAAATATTTAGTAATCCCTTGCCAACGAGATAAAAATACTATCTACATAATAAAATGTTAATAATACTGAATTACATTATTAAATGTAACAATCAAATAAAGTATCATACATACGTTGATAATTTTTGTCTTCAAATGCCTTTATTGTTTTTATCGAATAAAAATATTACCCGATAATTACATATTTTGATTCCAATTATGCCTATTTTTATTACTAAGAACTTTTAGAATGTAGATAAAGGACAAAATTAATAATCACTTGGTTCATAATCATTTAAAAATTACAATTATTGATAGTCACTACGATCGATGATATCAAAGCATAAAATAAAAAAAATATTACAAATAATTTTGATTATTACGTACAACTGCTAAAACTGGAAACACAGAGCTCATTCATCAACATCTTTAACATCTTTAAACACATTGTTAATACCCATATCAATGTTATTATTTCAGTTGGGTGAACTCCATATTCGTGGTCCTCAAGTTATGAAAGGCTATAGAAATAACCCAGAAGCTACAAAAGCAGTTATTACAGAAGATGGCTGGTTCAAAACTGGAGATCTCGGAAGTCTTGATGAAAATGGGGCAGTCACTATTAGTGATCGACTTAAAGAACTTATTAAGGTATTATTCACAAATATTTATAAGAGAAGTAAAACTATCATGAGACGATAGTTATTATAAAAATATATTATATATACTGCCGGACCTCGGGTTCGATTCCCGGATCGGGCAAAGTATTACTGGGTTTTTGACAAAAAAAATCTCAGTAGTAGCACGGAGTCTAAAAATGTGCCGGATATATGGCAATAGGCTCACCCCCTATTACATGGGACTCATAACATAAATATTGAAAAGTGGGTTTTACTTCTGTGTGCACCTCTGCCTACCCCTTCGGGGATAAAAGGCGTAATGTTATGTTAAAAATATATCTACTAAATTAACTAAAAATTACAAGGCTTATACGTGTCATCGCCGTGACCGTGCACGTGGCTCATAAAGAAGAGTCCCTTTGTGACTCGAAACTTGTAGAGCTAAGTAGAGTAATAATATAATGAATAGAGTTAGGGCATTAGGAGTCCAACTGTGTATCACCCTTGTTTAATTTTTTCTATATACATTAACAAATTAATTATTATGGGATCGTTATTCGTATACATTAAAGGGAACGAGGAGAATCTCAGTAACTTCCATTTTAGTATTATTTATGAAATCAAAAAGTTCAATGATATATTTTAACCGACTTCTAAAAAGGTAGTTTGTCCAACCGGTTCAATCGGTTCAACCAATTGCAAGGATTATCCTTGCAATTGCACGATTTTGTTAAGTGTTTATTTCGACTAGGAGAAGGTCTTATTATATTTATTAAGCGACTTCAAAAAAGGGGTGAATTCGCTATTTTTTAAATGTAGTTTATAAAAAAAATATTCTTGATTTGCTCAGATAAATGTGACCGATAAAAATTGGTCAATGTCTAACAATTTCTGGCAGATAACGATTATTTATTGTTATTAATCGATCAACTAAAATTTTATATAACGACGGCTCTCTTTTTCCACGCCCTCGTATTAAAGGTATGGCCGATTAGTTTCGACCTCGACCGGAGCCCTTATAATGTCAATAATCGAATACAAGATGTCACTCACCTTATTAATGTTTTTACAGGTAAAAGGATATCAGGTACCACCAGCAGAATTAGAAAACGTATTAAAAGAACATCCAGACGTACTTGACGCTGCAGTCCTTGGTATACCAGATTCAAGACTTGGTGAAGTTCCTAAAGCTTTTGTAGTGCTAAAAGATGGAGTTAAAGTAGAAGCCAATGAAGTGACGTCATTTGTTTCGGAGAGAGTAGCTGAATATAAAAGAATAAGAGATGTCGTCTTCTTAGATGCCTTACCAAAGAATCCTTCTGGAAAGCTTTTGAAACGAGTTTTAAGGGAACAGTATTGTTAGATTTTTGTTAGGGTGCGTGTACATCTGACGAATGCTCCGCGAATGCGCCGCGCCGCGATTCACCCTCGAGCTGCGCGTGTGCTTATAAATTGATTATTATGTATATAAACAATCTATGAGTTGAGCACCAAATCATAGCCGTGATTGCGTCGCGGCGCATTCGCCATATGTGGACGCACCCTTAGGTTAAGTAATATTCAATGCATGAGAAAATATGTGAAAGATTTTTTTAATAATTTTGTTATAACCTGATTTTGTATTATAATACTAGCTGACCCGGCAAACTTCGTACCGCCTAAAAGATTTTTCTCACCTTTTAAACCTTCTCTAGACTTCCACGAACCTATCAAGACCAAAATTAGCCAAATCAGTCCAGCCGCTCTCGAGCTTTAGCGAGACTAACGAACAGAAATTCATTTTTATTTATATAGATAAGTGCACTATTTTTATATTTTTTTTCTGTTTTATTTTGTATTGTAACTTATAAGAGGTCTTCTTATACATATATCTGTATCAGTGGCGTGCAGTCCATATAGGCAAAAAGGCTTTGCCTACCTTACAAATACCGTGAATAACACTACGTAATAAAAGATATAAACATTTTAATTTTACTACAGAATACTAAAATAATAATTATAATAAAATTAGTGAACGCCTAAAATAAATAGTATAGCAACAATGATGGCGCGCGATACGTGTTGCATTTCGCCAGGCGTACCGTATATAGCTGTAAACATTAACGCGCGAGGCAGGCACGCGGTTCCGTCGCCTGCAAACCATTCATAAATTTAAGCGTGTAGTGGTGAACGTCATTGTGTGCGTAGTGCACAGACGCGTTTATTTTATCGTCGCGAAGCTTGCCTGCAGGCACGGCCTGACGACTCGTGATTGAGTTCGCCGCGTGCCGACCAATCACGTTCCGTGTCTTGGTTTACTCATTGGTCGCCTCGCAGCGAACTTCACGCCGCTCGCGCGTGACAATTTTTTTGTTTTTGTTTACGTGCGATGCGTGGATTTTCGGATAATTTTGTTATTTGATTTAGAATACGATTAGTAATTCTACGCAAATAATTTGTAGTAAACGGTATAAAATTGTCTATTTATATAAGTACATTTTATTACTGTGTTTGTTTATTTGTTAATTGATTTTGCAAAGTTATACGAAGAACTGTGAAGTTTGTATTGACAAAAGTTGGTAAAGAATTATAAACTATCGCAGACCATCGCTTAGTGATTAGATTGTGTGTGAGTTTTTCTTCTGATAGTCTTGTCTTGGTAAGTTCTATGAAAGTTACTTTATTTTAATGTGATTAGGTTATGTAACATAAGTAGGTACCTACGCGGAGCTTCCCGTCGCGGCAACTCAGTCAGTAAAAATAACGAAGCTTTAAGTAATATGTTATGTACTAATTATAAAATGAAATGAAGAAGAATAAGCTAGGTAAATGAATGTTTAATAATACTAAAAAATGTACTACCGCTTACTCGGCTCGGCCGCAGCCGGCCGCGCTCGGTTCGATTTTTCTATTAGTCATACCCAAGTTCTTAAAATCATAATATCTCTTGAATAGATGAACCAAACTTATTAATTCGAAGAATTAAATTAAAAGAGTAAAGAATTCGTAATATTCTTGTATTAAACGTGAGAAGGCTGGACAGGCCGCCAGTTCAGTACAATTTTTAGAATGAACAATTCGTTACTGCTACTGAATTGATAACATAAATTAGATTAATCGTTATACAGCACCTCGAGTAGGTAATTATGCAGATTAGTTTTACAAATCTAAAGAGAAAAATAGAATATTAATGTTTTTAAGTTGTTAGAGTAATCAATAAGTTGATGTAATACTTCACGAAAACAACGAGAGATGGCACTGTTACAAAGAATTGACGAAAGATTAAAAACCTCATAAGTTGAATTATGTTATGTATTTACAATGAGTTTAATCATAATACAATATTATGTTGCCTACCCTGTTCTAAAACCCTGTGCACGCCACTGATCTGTATACATCGTTTTCCAATTCCTTTCTCTACGTTTGCTTATATTTTACATTGGTACAATCCTCCCTCTACGTAATGACATATGACTTGATATAATATTAATTTATTCAATGAAGCATTCTTCATTAAGAATAAACGTGACCATTCGTAAGTTACTAAAGTACCTACATAACAAACAAGGAATAACGACATCTGTTTTTTTTTTAAATCAACAAATAAAAGTGGGTTACACCGCACTGCTTTAAAGTATTTTCACCAATTTGCATGGAAGGGTGAAAGGAAAATAAACATCATCGAAATACATTTGCGAATTGGGAGGAAACCTTTCAAATATGTAAAATATTGTGCATTCTTTAAGCTGGTCCCTTTTTGTTTGATTAGCATAAAGGGAATACAATAAACCAGTTATTTAAGCTTCATTTAAAATCTGCAGTGTTAATTACGAATAGAAAAATACACTTTACATAACATAACATCACGCCTTTTATCCCCGAAGGGCAGAGGTGCACACAGAAGTAACACCCACTTTTCACTATTCATGTTATGAGTCCTGAGTCCCATGTAATAGGGGATGAGCCTATTGCCATATACCAGGCCCAATTGCAGACTCCGTGCTACTACTTATATTTTTATTAAAACCCAGTAGTACTTAAACCGACCTGGGAGTGGAATTCGAGATCCCTTGCCCGGCAGTCGCACTTGCGACCACTCGGCCGATAAGGTTGTCCAAATTATAAATAAATATACACTTTATTTATTTATAATTTTCAAATTATAAATTATGTACCAGTAATTATTACATTATGTCTTATATCTAAGCACTTACATAATAATAATTTTTAAATGTACAACATTTTAAGATGTCACAACATGAATGGCAAATAATAATAGGAATAATAATTCACTTATATTATTAATATTATAAATACGAAAGTTTGTGTGTTTGTCTATATGTTTCTTACTCAATCATGTCAAAACGGCTGAACGGATCGGCATGAAATTCAGAACAGGATAATTTACTAAAACTCGCGGGATACTCACGTCGCAGCAATGACGCGCAGTCTACGAGAGCCTAACGGGTAACTAGGGCTCCGGGTAGACGTGCAGGAGAAGGAACAGGGTTGTTTTTAGTCAGTAAGAGTCTGACACCCCCTCCCGCCTCACCCAGACGAGAGCAGTCATTCGATGATTTCCCCGCCTTAAAAACAAAACTCATACATCGCCGAGACCGCGTACGCTGCTCATGAAGAATAACCCCTCTATGATACGAAACTAGTAAAGCCTTTCTCTGTATATTCACGTGAGTAACCCGCGAGTTTTAGTTAATTTAATATGTCTCACAATAGTTATTATAAAAACAGGGATCGATAATGTTTTAAAATAACACATAGGCTCTTTATCCCATTTTCCACGAAAACGAGGGTGAAGCCGTGTGTAGAAGCTAGTTACACAATAAACAATCCATAAACAAAAAAAAACTGAATAAATGCGACCTAATCGCTAAATCTTACAACTACCAAGCATAAAGTAAATGACCGATAACTACCTATATCTACTACTAATCGTGTTCTTTAGATTGCTTTAATCACAACATCAACGATAAGTTTTTTTTTTATATTTGATGGGCCAACGTTTGACCATTATCTCGCCTGGTGATAAGCGATGATGCGGTCTACGATGGAGCACGTCGTCCACTAAGCAACCCACAAGGTTATACCCTTCAGGAATCACAGACTCTGGCAAAGAATTCCTCTCTTTAGCAGTACCCACAAGGAAGCTCGATGCGAAGCGCTTCGTGCGTGTGGGTGAGACATCTACCATGAATCGGTGACGCTTCGCCGATTGTCTTGTGGTACGATGCTGGAAAGAACTAAGAGGTATCAACTTGTGCAATTCTCCAGCACACTCACTTCAAAAGGCTTACAACTTACGCCTGTGTTCGAGGCTTTTAAGCCGGGCTTCCACAAGCGCACCATCGTTGATGAGCCTCTTGACACGCCTCTCAATGTGCTCTAACGCGTCCAGCTGATATTTAGCCGAGCCGTCCCAAAGATGAGAGCAGTACTCCATACAGGACCGAATTTGTGCTTGGTACAGGTTCAGCAATTGTTTAAAAGCATTAAAAAGAATGTAATTATTTGAAATTTTCATTTCCCTTAACATACATAGTACATTTACTGGCTAACATCATGTAACTGAATTTACTGGTGTTACTCACCGTTTACTCAGTTATTATGAGCATCCACCACAAAGTATGGAGAGGCACGTACGTTCATAACAACTGAACTTTTGCTACTAGCGCACCACTTTTGAATTTCGAACGAGAATAGCGATCGTGTTTTTTTTTATTTGCATTGTGCCTGTAGCAGTTGGAATTTTGAGGTTGAGGTTGTAAAAGTTTTTAAAGATTTATTTGCTAACAAGATTCTATTGATATGCTAGTTGTATTATAAGAAGTCATCGTTTCAATTCGCTGAATAAATATTGGACTACAATTATAAGGAGGATGAAGTTAGGAATGAGCCTTGATGTATGTTTATACTTTTGTCTACACCGACTATAAGGTATAATGCTGATCATATTCTCAATCACAAAAAAATAGCAAAAACTTTCTGTTACACAAAATTTGCATACAGATTTCGTTTTTAATAAAAGCCGAAGGAAACTTGATTAAAACGAGGCAACGTAATACTCACTGAGTCACAGACTATATTACTTTCACATCTTGAAAAGAGCTTTCTCATTCTTCTTGCTACCATATTCAAAGAAAATTGTCTTAGCAACTAAGAAAACATTTCAAAACTTTCCCACGAACCGTTTTTAAATTTTCAGCTTTAACTAAACTGAATAAGATGCAATTTTCAGGAGTATATTTGAGTCTTTGCCACGATAGTTTAAAGTCATTAAAGACACTTCTGGATCCCCTAGTTACAATAGTCTAAATGCTTTTAACAAATGAATTTACAATCAGAAGTCGACTGGTGAAAATAAGCACATTACTAAATTGGCTTGACAAAGAGAAAACCATTTAAGTCCTGCTGTTTTCGCTTTAGTATGTTGGATTTAGAATGCCTTACACACCGAATCGTTAGATGAAAGTATAGAAAGTCTCTTAAAATTAACCTATGATGAATCATTCTAATGGTATACAAATAATTGTGAAGAAAACACTAGAATTAAAAATACTTTGTTTTGGTACTACAACAAATTAAACTAAATAGATAATATTAGAATATCTAGTCTGTACTATATTTTGTTTACTGCAATTATCGTAATAAATAATGTT